CTGTGCAGCTGTAGTAAGTCATGTCATAGCTACTGCCATATTTTTCAACCAGAATGAAACTTCTATTCCTGTATCTCACCTTATTGCAGCAGGTTGAGCTACCAGAGTAAAAATTTCTAGAGCCATTCCTGGAAGCCAGAAGACTAATCTCAATTCTCCTTTTAATACAGAGATGCTTTAGGATCTTTTACATACATCACTCACTATAAATTACTGAGTAAAACACTGAATTGTTTTTGGATGTGGAGGCACACACATTACCCCAGGAGGGCACCCCAGGTACCCAGGAGGGGCAGGTTAGTGAGATCTTATCTGGAAAAAAAAAAAAAAAACAAACCAAAAATCAAAACCCCAAAGCCCAGAACTGAATTGTTGGTTGACTAGCATCATCAAGAAGTGTAAAGCAGTTATGTGTAGAGCTCTAAAACCAAGAAAGCCTGGGTTAGTGCCTGGACTGAGTCAAGGTTCCTGACCCTCTAACATGCGGGCCCCCCTCAGCTTGTAGCAGGCCACTGAGAGCCCATTATCTATCTTCCCAAGGCTATATTCGGTGACATCAAACTGGTAATTAACAACTGGCCTTGGTTGGGGCACTCACGCCAGGGAAACAGGCTACCAATTGAGCCTACAGAAGCTGGTTCAAATCAATTTCCTCTTCGGTCAACACTAATCACAATATTTTCCATATCATAAGAGAACAAGGATAAATGAGAATTTGTATATGTTACATTACACACTCATTTAGCAAATGCTCAAGAAGCTTTAGAAGTTACTGTCACTATGTGGTCAAAATGTAGAGGCCAGTTCTTTATAAGGCAGGAGAAATGATAACTTTGGAAACATTCATACAGTTCCATTGAGTACACACTGTTGGTGCAAGACCTTTGAGTAAGTGCTTGCACTGTTGCCAACTCTGTTTCTGTGAAACTTACATAGTCTCACCCAGTAGAGAAGGCAGAATAAAAAGCTAAGGTAAAAATTACAGGGCATCCTGATTAAAAAGGTCTGTGTGGTAAAGCAGTTTTGTCAGCAGAGATCTCTGAATTTCTACAAGCCTGTTTCCAACCTTTAGCAGCCCAGACACAGAGCCTAGACTTGTGTGAGCTGCCATTAAACAGTCACTCTGCTGAAGGTTATCCTTTTTTTTTTTTTTTTTTTTTTTTTGGTATGGTGCGTTCAGCGTGCATTTTCACATATATCTAGATTTAATTCTTGCAACTGTCTCGAGAAGAAACAGGCTTAGTGAGCCTGAAAGGTTTAAACTGAGCCTAAAACAGGCTTTGAGCAATGGCTTTGCTCAAAGAATAGTTGAGTTCCAACATATGTTGTCTCCAAGTCCAAGGCTCTTAGAACTAGAAATCCCAAGACCACTATGTTTTGAAAGGGCTAACCTACCACCAAATTTTAAGATCCGAGTCAACTGTTTCAGTTACAAATCCAAACTAAAGCAGGGAAATGTGTTAATCCAGAAATTCCCTTGTAACACTGGTATTACAACATCCATTTTACCGCAGAGAGGCTGGGGACAGTCTTCCTATCACACTATATTCCTCCTCATCTAACTTTTAGCGTAAAATGTCATTTTTCTCAATTGATTTAAACACTAGTGAAGTGGTTCTTGAATTTCAAAAAAACTAAGGTCATTTGTTTTACATTTAGAAGATCAGAGGTTGTCCTCCAAATCTAATGATGCTTAATGTACTAACAAATTCACGATTTGTATCAAACATTAATGAAAGTGAGGCCCATTAGTAAGGGCTTAATCAATTCCACCAACTTTCACATTCAGTATGTGTTTCTGATTATCAAGTTTTGACGTGAGTCTGGAAATCATATTTTGGATGTAGTAGGAGAGCAAGCAGCTGCCAAATCAGGCGTGAGGTAGGTAAGACAGCTGCCTCTGCACGTCAATGGCAGTGCTTCCTGACCCTGGAGCCACACACTGCCCCCGGGAACTAGGCTCCTGCTAGTAACTGGAAGAACAGGAGAACAGAAGAATTCTGCCCACAGCAATCACGCGTTGAATTTCTGAGGGGACAAACCCCAGCACAGAGGGATGGGTACCACAGGAATTACAACAGCTGATTAACTGCTGTTCTTTAGATTTTAGAGGAAGTAACTGCCTGTGGTTTTGCTACTATGTTGCAGTGTAGTCTTTTTTCAAAAAATTAGTATTGAAGCAAATTTGTCTTCTTACTGACTCAAAATGTAGTTCTACTTCTTTTTTTTCCTACCTCTTTGCTAAGGCTCTGGATATCACAATTCCTGTTCTGTATGGAACTAAGGTAAGGACAACAGCTAGTACTGGCTGGGAATTCAGCATGGGCCAATTTCCCCGCTTCTTTTGCTAACTTTATCATAACATGTAGAGAGAAGCCATTTCTAGGACATACATCCATATTAATGACAACATTTCCCTGTAGGTTCACTGTTGTTCTGAACATCTGAGGATTCTTAGGGTTTAAACTGAGCTTTCTTAGAATTTAAAAAAATAATTTCTTAAATACCAAGACCCTGATGAGCCTCCTGCTGCATTGCAAAAATCTTCACAGAAAGGTCTCTTCTCCATTCTTGTATTCTTTAAAGCAATAAATAAAACCCCTTATTTCTATAGCACTTTATAATGTACAAAGTCTTCACATACCGCTTCTCTGTGATAGTCAGGGAAAGCAAGTATTTCGCCATCCAACAGACAGCGGTAGTGATTTGTGTTCCAGTGAGCTTACCGGCACAGTCCAGGATTCCTCCTCCTCCTATACGTGCCACCCTAAATATAAGAAATTTTGTTTCAAAGCATTTCTATTATTTTGTTCAGAAAAGTACTTTAAAAGCTGTAACACAAAAAGTCACAAAAGATACAATTACTTGCTATCAAAGTCTCACTGGCAGTGTACCTGATTCCCAGAGTTAGAGGGTCAGGGCTCTGCATGTTCTGTGCCATGCAGGGGTGCTATGCACCCCATACAATCACTGCCTTACAGATTTCTGACCAAATCAAGTACATTATGAGAGAGGCAGGATAATACATTACCAGAGGCCTGAATAAGTGACCTCACAAAGTGAAACAGACCTTTCAGAAAGCTTACCTGAGCACAAGCTGTTTCATCCTCTGACTGGAAACTGGTAATGGAATATTAAAAAGCCCAAACCGAGATTCCTGCTATGAAACTAACAACGCAAAATACTGTAATTTTATAAAAGTTTGTAAAAGACTGCTGATTGGCTCTGTTGAAACTATCTGTGGCTAGAAGTCACATACTAAAAACTTAAATACTAGATATCCATTCAAACTTCTAGAAGTTATGGCACTGAACATGGCGGGCAGAAATACCTGAAGTCCAGCAAAAGATCTGAGAGCATTGGCTACTGTGAAAAGCATTACAGTGTGGAGGCTATTCATAATATTGTAGCTGACATCCCCCAACCACACTTTGGTACTAGAGATTGAACCTGAAGCCTTTGCACTGAGCCACATCTCCAACCTCCAGCCCTGCTTTTAATCTTGGGATAGAGATTCTCTAAGTTGTTAAATTGTCTTGGCTGGGCTTGAATTGTGATCTTTCTGCCTCAGCCTCCCATCCTGTTGGGCTTACAGGTGTGTGCCACCATGCCTGACTGGCATCTTTTTCTAAAACTGTTTCCTGTATAAGAAAGTAATTTTTAAAAATTAAGTAATTAATATTTTGGGGTACTAAGACTAAATATAGTGGTTAAAAGAATGTTCTGAAATGTAATTCTCCACTGAAAAGAAATAATGAATGTGGATATTCTATTAATATTGCTTTTGAGGCAACTCTGTTTCTTTGGTAGAACTAGAAGCCTCCAGATCCTGATCTCCAATCTCTTATCATTTATAATTTTTGAGTTAAGTAGAAGGTTCTACTTGGAAGTATTTTTCCTAAAGCTATGAGGTCCCGAGCAATCACTAAGATGATGATAGCTGGAAAGCAAGAACTCCTTTAATGCTATTATACAGTTTAGATTATTAAAAAAGAAAAAATCCTCAATTGGAACTCCATCACCAAGTCGTCAAAAGAAGCAAAGCAGCAGGCCCTGTACCTTAAGAGTCAGTCCCAAAGGTTAGGCATGAAACCATCACAGCGGGTACCAACAGCCATGAGAAGTGGAGCTGGAGCTCCATTCTAACATACATCTAGTTACACAGCTTTTTCTATTTAGAAAATCAGTACAGTGCCAATGTTGAAATACTGTGGTGGAAACATTTAAAATGCATGCCCAATAGGAAGGGAAGAGGAAAAATAATGTGCTTCATAGCAGATTTCATTTATTCATTCAAGTCCATCCTTTCTAGATGGTTCAAATGGTTTATTTGTACCAGTATAGAACAGAAATAAATCAACCTTTTCTAACGCTGAAAAACTAGGATCAATCATCCTCGAAACTTTCCTCATCCTAAACTTTTAAGTCATTCATCCCTTCACAATGCAGTATCTCAGCATTATTGCAACCACATTTTACATGAAGAGATTTTTCTAAACACTGTAAAAGGAACTGTATCTGTAAAAGGAAGAAAGTTTCTGTCAGTGGTTATTTGGTTTAAATGATACCAAAAAATAACTTTGGAGATTTACTGCAAGTTATTTATTGCCTGCAAAACTAAGTATCCTTCCTCAATACAAACCATGGTAAAAAAATTTTAACTTCCTGTTCAAAAGAAGACAAAATCAGCCAGAGCTATAACTTTTCTACTCAAAGTAAAACTTGTAAACAAGTTTACAATTTCTATAGATATTTTCCTCAAAATTAATGTTTTTTATTTCTGAAAGTGTAAAGAGCTGTGATGTACTTCTAGGCAACTTAATCTTGCTAGAAAATTCTATGTCAATTCTGTCTCAGTACAGTACTTTCTGTTACAGAGTTAGCTTTACAGCTAATTCCTGATAGTAAATTCATGTGTGCCTAAAAACACGTATTAAAGTTGAATGCACAAAGGTCTATATTAGGGTTGGTGAGGAAGGAGGAAAAATTATTCACTGGTATTTTGCAAGTTTTACCGATTTTATTTTCTTTTATAACTGAACACAAGTTGAGTGCCATGAGCATCTGGTTTGTCATATCTCTTGATTTTTCAACCTTATTGAAGATGTTTTCTCTTTTTAGGCACTCTTACAAACTTATGGCAAAAATACAATAGGTATTATAGTGACATGAATTTTTCTGTAGAATGACCCTGCAGAAACTGAACTTTTTCACTCAAAGACACTGCTGCCATGAAATATCTTGAGATGTCATCTTTGGCAAGTAATGGACAATTACAGGGGTTAATTTAGGAAAAATATATAAAATGTAAAGTACTCTATGTAATTAATACAATTAATAATTTTAGGGCTGGAAAGAAATTTAGAAATCACCTAATTTGAACTTAATTCCTTGATAAAAGAATGAGGCACAGGTTTGGCCAAAGTCCCACTTCTAAGTGCCAGAGCAAGAACTAAGAGCCGGGATCTAATATTCCAGGCTAACTCTTCCTTATGGTGTAGAATATTTATAATAAAGAAGTTCTATTATTATTTAGAATTCTTTCACAGTAAATCTTTACTAGAATAATAAAAAGTTCAAATTCTGATATCTAATTTTCCTTTACAGTTCAAGTTCTTTTGAATAAAAGACAAGCTTTAGATGGACAAAAGGTCACAATCAAGGAAAAAAGTGGCTACAAATCAAGATCTGATCATAGTACATTTCTCTAGTCCTAAAATTGGTTGATTTCATCAGTAATTGTTAGGTATTTGTCACCTACCTTTCAGATTTGTAGAGAAAGATGGAGGGTAACAGATCTCAAAATGTGGAGCTGACAAAATGCCAAAGCATGAATCATTTGAGCACTTTTTCTTTATCACTACTACAACATCCATGAAATCAGTTTGTCTCCAAGAAGACTTTACTCTGAGCGCTCACACGCATAGTAGTCTCTCAATCAGTGAAAATATTAGGTGCTTTCCACTTATTCTTTCAATATGGATAGCAAGAAAATAAGGTAGTAAAGCAAAAGTTAATGTAGGGGAAGCTTCACTGTCAGATTATCTAAACAACAGTTCATCATGAATAGGGAAATCTGCAGTCTGCCCTATATGGTATATTTAAGGCACAAAGCTTTTGTGGATTCAAAGTTGTTGCTCATAAAAGGATAATAATAAAAGACATTTTATAAAAAAGATGGAAAAATTCAAACTGCCTGGAGTAAAAATGAACATTGAAAAGTTAACACATTTATTTTTATTTGTAGATAACTACCACATGGACTATAAAGAAAAAGGATGTCAGAATGGAACTTGGGTCAAGTGTCTACATGCGTGATAACATTCCTATACATTACGCTTAGAACATTATCAGTACAACAGGAATTGGGATTATTTAAAAATATGTAGAACTTATGTAATCTGTGCTTTAGAAAGAACTGTATACAGTGTTGTAAATGGAAAAGAATTCAAAAGATTACTAAATATATACCTGTGCATTAGAATTCAGAAAAAGTTGCATTCTGTAAAGTTAGCTGTATTAAAAATGACACAAATCCAAAACAAAATGCGTATTATATAAAAAGACATTGTAAGCCTTGCTTGCTACATTAAATCCAAAGATTAATCCATGAAAAAAAATTTAATTTTTCAGACAGAAGCATGCAAACAGTCTTACAATCTACTTAAGTGTTTTTCTCAAATGCACTAAAACTACACTCCCCTTTCCAGGAATTAAGCAGGTATTCGGGCAGCTGCTTCCTCTTCTGCATCAGCTCGGTTTGCATTAATTTCTGCAAGTGTTCGGCCAAATCGTGCCCATTCATCATTTCGGGGAACAGCAATCTGCTGTTAAAAGAAAGACAATGTTTTATGTACACTGAAGTAAAAGATCATCTTATCTACTACTATTGTTCTCAAATTTTTCACTAAAAAGTGAAAATTGATCTGGATGGCCTTTCCACAATGCTAATAACTATAACAATGATTTATAACATTTCAGAACAAAACATTTTTCTGAAGTGTTGTGACAGTTTCAGAAATGACCTTGCTACCATTACCCATCAATGCAAGAGAGAATAATGATGCTTGTTAATATTAATTCCTGTGTACCATCTTAAGGATTTTGCTGGTGGAGAGGAATTCCTTTAAAAGTTTAGTTTTACATCATTCCTACTATGAAATAGTTTCAAAGCATGGTTCATAAGAGTTCATTTCTTAGATGTATGTATTCTTGTTTGAAGCATTACCTCTGATACTCTAGTTCTTCCACCAGAAGCTATGCTACTATTATCATTTAGTGCTAATATATCAGAAGCAACAGGGACAGCTTATGGAGCTTCTGCCTCAGAGAGGAAGTCAAATGACATTCTGCTTTAGAATATCAGTCTGACACTGCCATGACAGGGCACAAGGCACTCACTTTGGCAATGGATGTACCTGTTTCTAAAGTCTATACTGTCCAGTAGAGTGCCTGCTAGTCATATGTAACTATCACTTAAATAAATTAAAATTTTAAATTTAGTTCTCTAGTTGTACTAGCCACATTTAATTAATAGCCACATGCTGTTAATGCTACCATACTGGACAGTGCAGATATGAACCCTTCTACCTGTGCAGATAGTTCTACTGGCTCTTCTAAAATGATTCAGTCTACCTCCCTCCGGATGCAATTGCTAGAGGCCATGGGATTTTTAGGCAGGATGTGGAATCAGGACCAAAGTAGAAGAAAAAATGATTAAGGCACTAGCCAGGGCTAAAAAGGAGGAAATCAATCCCAGGCATTGTGTACTGCCAAGCAGAGCACTAAAGATAAAAGAGCTACAGCTGATCCTGCTGAATCCAATTATAATGGCTTTGGATCAAGACTCAAGATTCACATTTCCCACAGTCATCAGATAACCCTCAAAAGATAGCTCTTTTGGTTTCTACTATCTGATGAAACAAATCTATGAATACAGAAAAAAAATCTTAATATCAATTCTGGAAACACCAAAGCCCATCTATAACTCCACATTTCTTCTGCCTGAAGAATGTCAAATTTCTAGCAACATATGCTTTAAGCAGGAGGGTCCTTCCAACATATTGTATTACTCTCAAAATCTGTTACACAGAATGTCCAGTTAAAAAGAAAATTAATTTCAAGAGTTGCCTCTGTGTTGCAAAGCATACAGCCACATAGTTTATACAATTTGTAAACCATGAAGACAAAGTTTAGCCACTAAGATACCTTCACTATAATGCCATTAAACTGATGTGTTAAAATTATAGGCAAGTCTCATACCTCTCCTACATCATAGATAACAATCTGTCCTTCAGAATCACCCACAGCAATCTCTCTTCCAGAATGGGTCCATCTTACACGATTAAGAGCAGGATTACCCTCCACAGAAATGCTGGCAGTTGGTACCTAAGTCATTTAAAATACAGTGTAGTGTTAAAAGTTTTACCAAAAGTTGTATAAACATATAAAACAGTAATTCTTTCAATTTGGTACAATTTTAAAAAACAGAATAAAATAGATCAATTTCCCCAAGTTTCTTCCTGTTCAGCAATATATTATGAATGACATCATGGTCCTGAAAATAGTTTGGGAAAACAACTTAAGCCCTTACATAACAAATTCTCACAGGACTGGATATAGCACTTTGAAAGATCTTCTTTTTAATAAAGGATTTTTGGTTGTTTTAACTTCTTTTAGTCAAAACTGTTTCAAAACATATGGCCAAAACCCACTCATAAAATGTTTTAAAAGCTCTCATAAAGAGATCGTGGCTTAATCTTAAGAGGACAGGATTATTTTTTATAGCTTGCTTCTCTGACAGCTGAAACCTTTATTTGGTCCAGAGTTCCTAGAAACATTTCCTGGTGAAGGTGCAGAACAGGTCTTTTCAAAGCCCCTTACTTCTGTAAACTGGCTAAGGGAAGCACGAGGATGGTACCAGTCCCTTGGAAGCTCACTATGCCACTCCCTGTGCTGAGGAAAAAGATTTATTTACCATACATGAAGCAAACATCAATATTTGATTCAGGATAAAATGCACAATGAAATGTTTAAAGTTTTGAAATCTGACCAAAATCACTTGGCTATGGCTTAATACCGTCTCCTAGCCAGTACCTGAATGTTCCTCCCTAAACTACTAGACAAATTCATAGTATGTTACAATTCTTACATTTCTAACTTATAACTTCCTTGGCTTTGTGTAACAAATTATTTTGTTTAAAGGGATTTAGAGAGATGTTACCAGAAATGACATGTGAGAGAATGCATCAAGTGACCTTGTCCCAACAACCATTACTGAGGGAACTGCTAACATTATTTTTCTTACAGCAAAACTGAAATCTAAGATTATATGCCTCTTTAGGCAGGTAAAAATACATAGCTAAAAATAAGTGATAGCTGAAGTTGAATGTTATTGCTAATGAATGATTTTAATAGCAATCATTTCTATATTCTTATTATAGGGCCAAGTAATACTGATCTCAATCCTGGGGGGGGGGGAATGCCAAAAAAAAATCAAAAAATGTTTTGCTTCATTCAATTAAGTCAGGCTAAGACTAATATTTATGGATGATACACAATTCCATCAAGGATAAGAGGCAATTCAGAAATTCAGAATTAAGGTTAATATGCTTTGGCAATCTGAAACTATGTGCTTTCTAGCCTACGAATGAAAAATATTCCAGCTGCCTTATGAATGAGACTTTGCCAGGACATCAGACACGATACTGCTTTACAGAAGCAAGAGGAAATGCCCTGGTGCTCATAGCAACATTATTTCTCGCTGCAGTTCTGCACAGCATGCTATTTGTTATTTAGCTTCTTTGTGATGAAACTACAATCACAGAGTGCTTTTACATTCTTTGGGACAAAAAGAATTTCACAAATTATTCAATAAATCTCCAATTTTCTATTTTTCAGTGCAATTTTTGTTATTTTTCTGCTCACCTCTGTGTCATTATTGAGATTCCATAAATCCAGTCTCCCCATACCATCCACACAGGCAAACAGGGCTGGGTGGGTGGGTGACCACATAACATCATAAACATAGTCCGAATTATCTTCAAATGAATACAGAGGCTTGTTATTCTGAAAAGGAAAAGCTGATTTTTAGTATGGTCAACAGGATACAACATGCACACAAATTATTAAACTACATTATCGCTGAAGAAATGACATACATTCAACAGGTATACATTTTACAGTGCTTAACTCAGTCTAGAAAACACTGTTATAGTATGTTTCACTGTAGAGTTTATTTGGCATTAAACTAAGAATTAACTACTGGATTGCATTTGATTTTTAACTTGTAGATGTCATAGTGTTTGAAAAAGTACAGACTATCCTTTAAAACATTTTGTCAGAGGACTTTGGGATGATTATAGCAGTCAGTGTCTGTGCTTCTGAATCTCTCCTAAATCTCCCCATGAAACCAGGAAACACAAGAAATATGGTAAAACCAATGACTCACAATGCCTACAACAAAATCAGGAGATAAGTCCTGAACATGAACAGAGGAAACAAATCTTTGACAACTACCATGGCATCTGTGTAGGAAGAAGTGGGGGCAGGCACAGGAGTGAGATAGCTGGAGCATGGAAAAAACCTGTCAACAGCACATTCTCAGGGACAGCATTGAGAGTCTGTCTGAGAACAGCAGCAGAAACTAAGAAGATGAGCCTGATGTGGTGGCACAAGGGGTATCATTTCAAATTTGAGAACTGCCTGGGCTATGTAGTGAGCTCAAGGTCAGCTTGAACTACCTTGCGAGACCCTGTCAAAGAAAAAGAAAAGAAAAAAAAGAAAAACTCGGAAGAACTAGAGCTCAGGCATCATTTCATTGGTAAATAAATATCACCCAACAGCAGCATAAGGTAAGGTCTGATGATGTATTCTGGGCCCATCAACCCTCAAAACCGAAGCTCCCTTCCAAAATAAAGTCTCACTAGAGAGAAACATCTCAATGCAATACAGATTGAAAGGGACAAAAGAAGTGAAGGGTCAGATAAAAGTGGAAAGGAACACATATTTCAGAATGTACCACATTACCATGAGTGCAGATGTATCTACCTTTTAAAAAGCCTCTCAAAAAGTAAAACATCAAGTTGGATGCTCTTCTTTCACATCATAAAAAGAAATTAACTCAAATGTATCACAGAGCAAATGGGAGAGGCAAACACAAACTGTTAAACAATAAATCTTCACACCCCGGACTCAAATAGTTTCTTAGACACAAAACCAGAGGCTAGAGGTACAAAAAAAAAAAAAAAAAAAAAAAAAAAAAGTAGATTAAACTGGTCTAGTATCAAAATTAAATACTTTTGTGTTTCAAATATCAATAAAGTACAAAAGCCTACATAATGAAAAAATATTTGTAAATCATACAGCTAATTAGTGACTCACATCTAGCACATGAAAAATGTTCAATATTGTTAGTCATGAGAATATAAATCAAAACCACATTGAGCTATCACTTTATACTACTATCATTTCATAGTAGAGAAGCTAAGATAATAGTAGCTAGTCTGAGGAACAGTGTGGTACTTCCTCAAATGCTAATGGGAGCTAAACATTTGATGCAATAATTCCACCTTTAGGTACATATCTCAGAGAAATGAAAAACACATAAACATGTATTTCCAGTAGCCTTACTTGTAATAGCTCAAAAGTGGAAACAGCCTTAATGTTCACCAGGTGATAAGTGGGTAAACAAAAAGCAGTACATCTACACAATGGGCTATTATTCAGCCATAAAAATAATGAAGTCCTTACACACACTATAATACAGATGATTCTTGAGAAAGTGAAGCGCAAAAAGCAGTACATGTATTGCATGATTTCATGAGGTGTCCATAAACTGTCAATGGCAAATCCATAGATTAGTGGTTTCTAGGAGCTATGGGAAGGGAAATTACAACTGCATAAACCATTTCTTAAATGTGAAAATGTAAAGACACTAATGACAACACATACCTTGATGAACAAACTATGAATCACTAACAGTATATTTTAAAATTGTTAATTCTATGGCATATGAATTGTATTTCAATACTTATTTTTAAAAAGAAGATAAATTTTAAAAAGTGACAGACAAATCAATAGATACATCTACAATGGCAGGCCATGAAGAAGAAAACCAAAGCTATAATATGGAATATGAAAAACAATTCAAAAGAACTCTTCAAGCCAGATGTGGTGGTGTATACCTGTAGTCCCAGTCACATGGGAGGCTAACAAAGGATGGCTTAAGCCTCGGAGTTTGAGACATCATAATATAGTAACACTATCTTCTAAGAAAAATAAAGAGGTTTGGGACATAGCTCAGTGGTAGAGCACATGCTTGACGCCCTGGGTTCAATTTCTTGATTTGCAAATAAAATAAAACTCACTCTCTTTAAAGAAAATGAAAACAAAATCATTTTATCATTTAGATTTTTAAAAAAGATCAAGTCCCAAGTAAGGAAAACCAAATCTTATCATCAGTCATTTACCATATAATGCAACTGCATGAACTGGAGTAGTATAAAAAAGAAAGCTACAGATAAGGATACAGAGCTATAGGAACTTGCAATGTGACAACCACTTTGGAAACTGCTTTGCAGTATCAAATCCCGCAGTAGGCAAATCCCGTAACCAAGTAATTCCATTTCTAGGTAAAAATCCAATAGAAACGACTCTTTATATGTTCACTGAAAATAACTATCACAGCCATGCTCATAAAAAAATTATTTATAACTGCCCTAACATTGAATTACCCCAAATATCAGACAGAATGGATAAATTATGGTATATTTATACAATACAATGGATATTGCAGAAAGAATGGATACAGCAGCAGACAGCAGAGAATGAACAATCTACAGCTGTTTTCAACAATATGAATAGTAGAATGTTAAGCAAAAGAAACCAATGACAAGCAAATATGTATTCATTTTACAAAATACAAAACATTAAAAAACTATAAGCAAAATAGATAAAAACTTACTTATAACAAAAAAGATTGCTAAATATATCAGGAAATATAGCAAATATTTCATCTACACAGTGGACTATTATGTAGCCAGAGACAAAAATAGGATGCATTACACCCAAGTAAAAGATCACAATTTAAAAAAAGAATAAAAGCAGTTATGTTCTCAAATTTTTAAAAATGTGATTATGGACATTCATAATTTTTTCCAAGTTTTTTTAAAAAAATAGTTACTTAAAGATTAATATTTTTCCCTTCAGAGAGAAAAAAGGCACATGTATTTGATATCAAATACTGTTCCATAATATATTGACATATGACACTACCAATTAAAACCCTGAATTGATTATTTAAGATGTTTTTTAAAAGTTAAGTCAGGTGTGGCGGTACACAACCCAGCACTTGAGAGGCTGAGGCAGGGGAACTGTGAGTTAAAGGCTAACCAGGGCAATTTAATAACATCCTCTTTCCAAAATGAAATAAAGCAAAACAGAAATATTTTTCTTACATTTAAAAGCACCTCTGCCCAAATGGAAAACTTGAGGAGGGGCCTAGAACTTAGTCTTTTGTTTTAGGCCTTCTAGTAATTAGTTTTAGGATTATATTACTCTAAGCTTCTACTTCCTTACTTATAAAACAAAGACTATATTCCAGTGTTTCTGAAGCTTGACTGTACATTGTAACCACCTACGGTCTTTTGAAAAATATGCAATTGCCCGAGTCTCTCCCTAAGATAATCTGAATCAACTTGCCTGGGGTGCCCGGAAAGTATTAAAAATTTAAAAAATTGCCAAGGTGAGTGATTCTAATAATGTACAAACAAGACTGAGATCCATAAAACTAATTAATGTATATATGATTCTAAAGCTCTAAAATTCTCACACATAAACAATTTGTAAAACATGTTTACTAAAAGAATTATAATGAAAACAAAGCGCATCTGAATAAGCAAAAATAGCTCATTGTGGTCCGCTTGTAAGAATAAACACTGTATGGTCAAGGAACTTTCAATAATTTTTCCTTAGGCTCAAGTTATATACTTGGTTGAATGGTGTTCCTCTAAAGTTCATGCCCATCTGGTATGTGTAAATGTGACATTATGTGGAAAGATTCCAGATTTAAGACCACAACTTAAGATGATGTCATACTGCATTAGGGTGGGCTCTCAATTTAGCATTATTGTCCATAAGAGAGAAAAATATGGACACAAAGACATGGTGAAACAGACAGAATGCCATCTAATGCCACAGGCAGAGACTGGAGTGAGGCAGCCAAATGCCAAGAACACCAAGGATGGATAGGAGACAATGGATTCTCTCTTTAAAACTCAAAAATTGTGATAGAATAAAACTGGTTGTTTTTAGCCACCTATTTATTATGGGAGCAATAGAAAACTAACAGATTTTTTTCAAAGCTCAGGTAATTGGAGAGTTCTAGATTAGAAAATATGTTAATATAATAGTGAGGTGTTTGGTAGAGAACTAGGAAATAATTATGCCCTCAACTTGGATCAGAAGACAAATAATTCCAACGTTAAAAAATAGCTTCTTATATGACTTGACTGAAGATACTAACTTTTTTAATAGACTGTCTATTAAATACAAAGTAAATATGAAGAATCAGTGTCTTAAAAAGAAAATGAACATAGTATCCATTTAGTATTGTCCAGGAGACAGTGTCTCAGTCAATGGATTTGAGAATTACTACCCCATGGCAAGGCTATTACTATCTGAAGATGTATGAATCAAACTACCTTAGCTTGATGCCACTGAATATTCAAATTATAAAACTTCTTTTGTTCTAATTCCTTGTTCACCAAGCAATCTTCTGATTATAATTTGGCTTCCCATGTGGGCTGTCTACAGGGAAACAATGAGCTGCTCAGGCCAGCAGGAGTATCTAGGCCTTCTGGCAGTTAGGTTTTTCACTGTAAATTAATAAATGGACATTCGTCAGTGTATCAGTGTCTTAGGAGCCTGTTAGTCCCATTCAGCACTCCCCTATCTAATCAACTCTAGTAGGCTGATAAAATTGAGTTCACTAAATATGCAAAACAGAGGCTGGACACTGGCCAATAGCAAGTTACTGAGGAAATGTTGCTACATGGGTCTGGGTCTGGATCAGCAGTCAGCCTTCCCTAAGAATTCCTAACTTCACAGCATGTTTTCATTTTAATTTGCCTAGTATGTATAGTGAGATCTCTTAACCCTGTTTTAATGCAAGTATCCTCTCAGTACTAAACAGAAAAACTGCCAAGTGTGGTGGCACATTCCTGTAATCCCAACACTTGGGAAGCTGAGGCAAGAGGATTGCTGTGAATTCGAGGCAGTCTGGGCTACAAAGTGAGCGTAAGGCCAGCCTGAACTGCATAGCAAAATACTTTCTCAAAAAGGCCAAAATAAAAAAATAAAATCCAGAAAAGCTGTCAGGTTAAGGAAGGGCTTTGAGACATCATAGATTAAATCTGCTCTTAATATATATAAAGATGGAAGCCTCAAATTTAAAGCCAAAAGTAGATTGGTAAGCCAAAGCCCTGAGATTTAAAACCAATCAATGTACAAATAAATAATCTTTCCAATTGTCAAACAGGAAGCAGCACAACAACCTAATAAAGATACAATATCTCATCTAGGCCTGGTAGCATGTGCCTATGATCCCAGCTACTTAGAAAGCTGAGGCAAGAGGCCTGCAAGTTCAAGGACAGCAACTTATCAGGCCCTGTCTCAAACTAAAAAGTAAAAAGGACTGGGACTGTAGCTCAGTAGTATAGCATACTTGGTTTAATCCCCAGCACCTCAAAAACCAAAACCCCCATAACATACATACATGTATATGAGGTGGGGGTGGGGGCTGCACTGTCCACAGACTCAAGGTGACAGTGCAACATGACTGTCTTTTTCAGTTCTGTATTTTGTTTGCTTTTACAAGCTAAATTATATATTTTTTGCTTATGGGTGTAGAATCTTTTCTTCATCTTTTCCCACTATACAATCTCATTAAAAGGACAAAAATCCCAAAACAATTTAAGAAACAGATGATTCCTGAATATATTTCTATGTGGCCTGCACCTCATGAAGAAGCAAAAGAGGAACTGAACACTATTAAATTCCTTTTACATTCTGGACACTGTATCAAGTAGCTTTTGCAGACATTCCTTTCATTATACTTATGAGTAAGTGCTATTTTTATGTTGCTAATATCAAATCTGAAAATGCTTAATTATAAAGGGCAAGCTTGGAGGAACAAAGTCTTCTCACACATTCCATGTTAAACTAAAGGAAGCACCAAGACAGGGTAACAGTGAATCCTGCATTTACCTCAGATTTCTGAGGCAAGCACTCAAATATGTAGGAGTTCTTTAAAACAGTGAAATACATCCCTTAAGACAAGTAGATTTTCTCAAAGAACAAAACAAAGTCTAAATTGCTTCATGAATTATTCAAAGAGTCAACATTTAGGGTAAAGTAGCTGGACAGAAAAAAATTAAAAGCTTAAAATTTAACTTAATTAAAACAGAATCTGATATATGGAGTGTATAGTTTCATCAGCAATAATGTGACTGCAGAAAAACTCCACAGCAAAGTTAAGCTGCTTGTATTATAAAGTGAGATCAAAGAAACTATATGTCTACTACAGTATATAATATTCCCTATCGGATTTGTTTTGAGACCTTCAATGAGACAGGAAGAGGTCAATTTATTGGAATTTCTGGAGATCAAGAAGCACTTTATCACATTAATGGGTGTTTCAAATAACCAAGCCTCTTACGACTAAATTAAGCACATAATTAAACATATAAGTGTAATACATAATTTTATATAATAAAAATACGCACCCATGCCTTTTCACAATACTTTCCTAATGATTCAAGTTTATTATGTATAGCTTTATGGTATAGGACTTCTTCCAAATCAGTTTTTGTCTTTTCTCCATTTCCTGTCAGCTCTATGAGGCACTCTAGTTGTGAGTTAAGTTTCTAAGCTCTCAAAAAAGCAAACGCATGGCTTTTGTGTTAGATTGAAAGACAACTATATGAGGTACCATACAAAATACTCAGGGGCTTTTTCTCCATTTCAGTCAGAGCAAACAGTTTTATGCTTGAGAAGCCTGAAGTGGAGGGAAGACTGGTCTTTGATCATGTCTGGAGTTACCATATTTGTCAGCACACTTTTATGAAAACAACAATGTTACTCATGCGCTGTGTAGCTTCTTACCAGGTCTAATTTATTAGCAAAAGACTGAGCTATTTAAAAGCTGTCGTTCCCATGTGGTAGTAGAGCACCATCTTGTGTTAGAAGCAGACATCTGTATTTTTAGATACCTTAGTTGTCCATAGTTTTACTGTCCAGTCAAATGAAGATGTGACAAAAAGATGTGAGAAGTCTACTGCTCCAACAGCTGCATGACAGTGGATGCCAGTGATTGGTCCTTGGTGTCCCTCAAACATCTCACTGATTCCAGCTTTGCTATTTCGTAAAAGTGAAAATGTTAGGGAAATCTCTCATAAGTAGACTATTTACAAACACATTCTATTGTAGGTTTATATTTCAGACTTTGACTTAATTTCAACAAACTTAATTGTGTACTTATAATGCAACAGAACGACTTACATTGAATGTTACTCCACACAGACTTGGCCACACTAGTGAAGCAGTAGATACATTTTAGAACTAGAAACATTTTGCTATTGACAAGAGAACTCAAAAGTCCAGTATCTGAGTTGGCAGAATAGATACAAAAGGATGCTACATGTAAGAGAGACAATCTGGGCTACTTTTAAATCAAAAGCTTTGAAGTGAAGGTGATCTGTATCTGAGATGAAACTCAGACACTCAATTTTTTTAAAGGAAGCAATTGATAAGGTACAGCTAGACCATTTCAAAATAGATTGAACAGCAGGAGAAATACTAGTCAATTTAAAATGTGGACGTGACATTACTGTACAATTATCAGGAGGACTGAAGTAAAGCTCAAAGTCCAAATAAGTAAAAATAGGAAAATGGCTGAAGATTTTGTTTATAAATTCAAAGGCCAATATGATGCATGTGCATATTGTACTTATAACTGCTAAATGCTTTTATCACTAACTTCTATGAATGCATGTATACACAAAATGATAATACATTGCAATCCACAAAATTTAGAACATATCATGAATCCAAAGTACTTAAAATTCAACTTTTAATGCTTAAACTCAATGTCACAAATAACAAATTGCTCCAGGACAGATTTACACTTAAATAAGGGCCTATATGATTCACTAAGTTATTCAAGGGAGCATTTTAAAGAACTACAAATTCTAGTTTAGGTTTACCTGCCATGACGGCATGCTGTGTACACAGAACCTTCTTCACTCCCAACAACAAAGTTGTTGACATCTCCAACAGGGAAAGACATAGATGTCACAGCTACTGCCTTTGACTGTTTATGAACCAACTCCATGCTATCCTACACAGAAAATATTGAATATTTCCAAGCATTCAATTTTTAAGTTTTCACAGGAAAACTTCAGTTTTAACAAATTTGTAAACCATTATTTTATTAGGCTATATAAACATACCTTAGTTAAATGAAGCATGTTTGGAAATAAAATAAATGCACAGCAAACTATATTTAACATGTTTAGATTTATAATGTTACCACAATTAAAGCAGTTTATAAATAACATATATTGGGTTATATACACATTTAAAACAACATGAACTTCAAAATTTCAGTTTATCCAAGTTTAACCTACCTGTGGATGAGAAAGCATGTCGAGACTCCATGAACAAATTTTTCCATCGGTAGAGATGCTAATCAGATTGTGTGCATTTTGTGTTCCAACAACATTTACACAATAGACAGGGTGCTAGAGATATGAAAGAAAGTTTTTAGGGATGATTTTACTTTTAGTAAAATACAACAAAAGTTTTAGTCTATACATATTTTATTTCACCTCAAGAAGTCATAACTTGAAGGTATTTTTAATATGAAATTTGTTATTTTTCCTGTTGATTAACTAAAGACTGTCTCAGAAAAGACAGGTTTCTGATAAATAGATCCCTAAATGTATAGAAAAAAAGATGTTGTTCTTGGTTGCTAAATGATGGAGAATTCACACATCAAAGGAAATATGTTCTGAAACCAATCTGATAGACACCACTAAGTAGTTAACAGTGCAGAAGCACAGAAGTTTGATGGAAATAACCTTATTTACTTACTGTGTGTGCAGCAGCCGACAGTGGCGTTCTTTGCACTGGAGTTCTTTTGTTGCTACGGTTATCCCAAAGCACAATTTGGCCTGAATATGTACCACCAACAACAAGATTTGGATGGAATTTTGCAAACGTAGCAGACATCACAGCTGACTGTAAGTAGGATTTTTATAATTAAAATTTAAATGGAAAAATCTGACAAACTATAAAATAAATGTATATATCATTTTCCTCTTTGTTATCAGGTACTAAAAGTTATAAAACAAGTCAATAACTTCATCAGAATTCTCATTTTGTTTCAGAAATATAAAAATGTATCTTTAGAATATTTTTTGCTTAAAATACAAATGTAATGATTATTTACATAAATATGTTTAAGCAATTTATCAAAGCAAAACATTATTTCACCAATTATATATTAAAAGATAACTGGCCCTGTGACTAATCTCTCACATTAGAACATATATTAGTTTTGATTCAGGTGTGCACTCAGGATTATGACATTATTAAAGATTTTAACTTATGCAACCAAAAAAGACTTGCACATTTTAACCTTACACTAAATCCACTTTTAAAATCTGCATCTGTTTCTTACTTCAACCATATGTTTCTACTTAAAATTATCTAGTTCCCATTCCTCAGGCAATGTTTAAGTAATTCAGAGGGCCAAACATCTAATTCTATATTCAGCAAGTAAGTTCCTGAGAAACTCCCTGTAGAAAGAACAGTTTATAAAAGATTCCTTTTAAATGATCAATCACAACAACAGAAAATCACAAGTGCAAAGGACTTTAGTTGTGATTAAACACTATAGGAGACATTAGAAAAGCTACAAGAGGCAGATCGTGCTGAACTAAGAAGTCTTCAGTTTTCTGTCAACATCTGTTTGCAAATATGGAGCAGTTTGGTAAATGCCAATCCAATGAAATCATTATGTTGACAAGAAAAGAAAAAAGGCACTTGTCTAAATTCATTAATGAACTCTTTAACTTCGGGAACACTGTTAAAAGATCATCTTACCTGGCAGTGGAACACATACTCTGGGGTAGTTTTTTTGTATTTCATATTCCATACAAGGGCCACACCATCAGGCTCATGAGGAGCATCTTCATTATTATTATAGGAAGCCACAAGTAACTCTGGATACTGCTCACAAGAATCAAGTGGAAAAGAAAGGCCAGGTATATAATAAGGGCTATTTTATGTTCTTAGTTATTTGACTTTCTTTATCAGATTATTTTGAAAATATAAACATCTAAGACTTCACCAAGAAAAACAGCTTTAGAGTTATGTTCATTGGGATAGTAGTACAATTTTGAATTAGTACAGTAGATTATTTAAAATATTTTAATATTAAAACATTTAATTTTAAATTTTATACAAAGTATTTGGCAAGTAACTGAAATAAAAAACTGAGTTTGGCAAGAAATCCTGAATTTCAAAAATAAATAATACTTTTAATTTTTTCTTCTAAAGTACATAAGGTAAAATGAATATAGCAATACTAGAACCATCTTGTATTATTTCAAATGAAGCACATTGCTTTGATTATATAAAACTCCTCTAACTGAAACAAAACTCTATACTAATTACAATTAAAAATTGAGTTAATAGCAACTAATTTTGTTATATTTTACCTGAGATGACCAATCCAAACAACTAACAACCCGATGCTTTGACCAACGTTCATCAAAAAATTGTCGATTTAATGATAGTTTAGCACCTGCTTGAATCTCTCTATAGAAAAAGACCAAACCCCAAAAAAGATTGTTATAACTTTTATCACTCTCAATCTTAAAATAATTTAATAGTGCTGAAGCTATAACCCTAGCAATTAAACATTACCCTTCTTTGTCTTCCAGATCTCTCCCACTGTAGTCAAAGAAGATGTTAATTTGCTCAGAAAGAGCTCTTTCTACAATTCTTGTAGAATGGTCAAAGAAACTTAAAAATTCCTCTGAATGCAAGATTTGTTGTTTTTCTTCTTCAGTCAGCTCATGAGGGGGAGCTGGAAAACAAATTTTTTTTGAAGTATAACTTGTATCAGCTAAATCACATCAACTCACTATCATACTTTGGATCAAGGAATATCACACATTCTTTTTAACTAGATTTACCTCTCTGATTTAGGGGGTTTTATTTTATTCATAAAATAATAAAAAATTATAAGAGAAATTACCAAAAATGTTTAAAGTTAAATTCTTTAAGATACCTTTACTATCATTTTCTTCATCTTTTTTAAAAATTTTTTCTTCTTCAGGTTCAATAGGTGGTTTAGGAGTCACTACATCATCTTCTTCCTCTTCATCTAAAAAATCAGAACAATTAAACAAATTATTTTTATGAAAATAGTTGATAACTTTTGAGAAGCAGTATTTCCAAGAGTATTAGACCACTCTAGATAAAAGAAAAAGTATACCACTGTGATAAGATAGAAAGAGTATAAATAAATTTTACCAAAGCAATGTTGAAGAAAAATTGGGTGAAATCTCTTGGTTTTTATGTATATCTCTGTGGCATCTCATCAACAATCATATTAAATTCTGTGGCTACATAAGCAGGAATAAGATATATAAGCAAATAGGATGAATTCATCCTGGAAGTCTCTAAAAGCTTGTAAGCATTTTATCATTCCTGACAGAACAACATGCAACTCCTGCATAGTTTTATATAGCATGCTGACACATTAATGCTGTAGAATGAAGAAAATCAAATGTCTAAAATAGCCCATGGAGCTGGCTGTTTACTTGTGATCTGAAACCATCAGTGTCTAATGCGTCTTCATATGGCATTAAAGATGGCTTACATTAACTCTCAGGTTGCTATTTGAGACAAGGATTTTAAAGATAATAGCTATGAGACCACATTTTCAATTCTGTCATTTTAAATGCAAGTCTCATTACCTACTGTTGTATGATGTGGCAATAAGCAGTTAAAATAATGTTTTCTTTAATTTTAATAAAAGCATATATTGATATCTACAATGTTTATGACTTAAAAATTACTAAACCTCTTGCATAGCCAAATGAGGCAAATTAAAATTCATCTATTTAAAAATGTTACAGGAGTATAATCCTGTCTATCTTCTTTTGCTACAAACCAAGATAAATTTTTATGAGGAAAATGCTTATTTTTATTGCCTAACCATGTGTTATCTGTCTACAAGCAATAGCAGCAGGCATCTGCTGCAGAGTGCATCTCAAGTAATGAGAGTCTATTCAGTAAGAAGACTTTACTTATTAGTACTAGTCATTCCCTTGACCCATGTACAAAATTATCTAAAACACATACATACACAACATACACAAAAGAATGGCCAAGGATGGGAACCAGCTGCCAAGTCATGGTCCCAGCAGCCAGGCCAGCTGACTAGATAGCAACAACCAGATGGCACTGCTGGGATTGTGTCTTTCTGATACAAGGTGGCAATGGGATGGCATAACATTCTTCCGCTTGACTGCTTCCAGTCCTGTGCCTTTCCCCAATGGCGAGCCTGTGCAATTACCCGCACTCCAGGAGGCCTAGAGACAAGCCTTTACCCTGCAAACAAAATGCAGTTTGTAGGCCACACCAGCTGCCAACTCACACACATAGTGTTAGGTTTAGAGAGCTATGAAAATCTTTCTAACTCTATAGTATAAGCAATAAAAATATCTGTACCTGTGGAAAGAAAGCTTTAAATGACACTGTATAATGCATACAATGATACAACCTCCAACTTAATCAAAATGATAATGACGTATGCCAATCCTACATTACTTGAAATTGAGCGATTTTTACGTTCTGACAAGTTTACAGAACTAGGATAAATGGCACGAATGATTTCAATATATGCTCATACTTTGAACCAAATGGTGAAGGTTAAAATTTTTCCTTTCAAGGGCCTCAATCAGCCACAAAGGAAAACAGTAATCACTGTCTTTTCAGCCAGCCCAACCGCATTTGTCAGCCCTTTCTCCGTCAATGCAGCCAGAGCAATCAACCTGCCAAACATTCAGAATGGAAAAACAATCTGAAAATACAGGGTATAATGCACCTGCCAGTGAAAATGGCCATTTCAAGAAAAGCTAGTGATCTCAGTGACCCTGCTGAGGAGGCGGTGGTGCAAAGGGGAAAGAACACGTAAAAGAATTCTTAGTGATCGCCACTCTCTTGCACATTGACACTTCCTTACAAAGCATGCCAATTACAGCTTTTGTGCTACTTAAAAAAATGAAAGCTTTTTTGGGCAAAATAATCACATAGAGAAACAGAAAGACACTACTCCTTTTTGATAAATTCTCATATACAATGAATTATTAATCTGAAAACAGTATAACCAAAGGCAATTCCACACCATATATATATTAAGATACAATTCTGCCAAAGTTGTTTGGTGTAATATAATAATTTAATTATATTTAACCTAAAAGATGATGTTTAGAACAGGACATTTATTTCAATTAAAAATTCAGCCTGAGGGAAAAAATATACACATACCTGTATTCAATTTTCTGCTAATACTATCCACTTTTCTTTTCTTTTTTTTTTTTTTTTTGTCTTTTTCATTTTTATCGGTACCAGGGATCGAACTCACGACCACCTGCTTGCAAGGCAGGCGCTTATGCCGCTGAGCTAAATCCCCAGCCCACTATCCACTTTTCTAATCAATTTTGTTAACTAGTAGAGTCATCATTAGTGAGTCCTAAAGTAGACAAAGATTTTGAGCTGCCATGGACAGGTCATTCCTGGGCACTGAATTATAAATTATAGCCTCCTACTCATATCTTAGTCTCCTCCTTCAACTTTGTTGTATTATATGGCTTCTAAGTACCATTTTCAATGACAGATGTCAAACTCCTGTCATAATGCATATGGTCAGTGTTTTACTGCTAAGTGACCTAATAATCTACATATTTATCAGAAAAGAGCTTGTTTATAGACACACTTCCTTTTAAAATTTAAAATGTAGATGAAGTGCGTTAGTGATCAGTTATCACCCTACAGTACAGCCATTTATATGTCTATATAAATTACTACACAGTTGTAGTTCAGTGAGTATGAGCTTTTTAAGGAGATTTCAGAATATTTTAGAGTCCATGTACATCTCTCCCTTTCTATATGGATTAAAAATGAACTTAAAAATTGCAATTGGTACTCAAAACCCAAGCTTCAGAAATTATTAAGCTAGATAAATTTCTAGGAACCTAAAAACAAATGATATGTTCTTAAAAACTGCAAAATGTAGTATTTTAATCCTAGCACTTTGGGAGGCTGACATTGGAAGACTGCATGTTCAACTCTGTCCTGGAAAAATGGTGACAGCATTAAAAAAAATTTTTTTTTAAAGGCTGCAGTTCAGTGTGAAGACTCTGGGTTCAACTTTCAATAATAAAAAAATGTTCCTCTAAAACAAATATATTTGTTTTATCATAAACAAATACAATAGCTACTAAGTGATTATTGCTATAGCCCCAAAATATAGTATTAATAGTTCTAAGGATTTTGTAAGCTAGTCCCTGTCACATGATAAGCTATAATATATTTAAAACTGAAAAAGACTTAATAGTATAGTAAGACTGAAAAATGAGACTGCCATGCCACATCAATTTGCTGATGAATATTCATTACAATATGCTAAGTGGTTAACTCCATGCTTTCTCTGACAGGGAATCTAAGGTTACAAACTCAGCAGTAAAGAATGCAGAAAGGTAGCAGTTACTTTTAAAGTGACAAATCTCTTGTCAATGAATTCTAAAACTAGGTTTAATGAACCATTCAATTTTTACTTAAGAGTTAACATCAAAATTGTGATGTATTTTAGTGAGATGAAAAGAAGCTGCTCTATAAATTAGATTGCACCTAGAAATAACACCAACCAGTGAACTCAGTTGTTGGAATAATCAAAGTTAAACAAAGTTAAATCATCTGTGAAATGGGTGCCTTTTGTTAAACTCAAGGAATGAGTCTTCAGAATAAGTTTTTTCATCTATATGTCATATTACTTTTAAGATATATTTAAGAATAGATGAGAAAGTAGATAAGTTATTTTAAATACTGTTTAAAATACGCAAAATCTTAGAAAGTTCTTGCTAAACACATATGATTCTCAAGATGAAATGAAAAACGCATCTTACATTAATGCACTATTTAGGGAATACATTTGTTGGCTATCAATTCATTATGTTGTTTTATTACACTGGTACATCCTTTAAAGATAATTCAGTATCTCATGAAGAATCCCTAACTTACAAAGTACTCTAATTAGTCAGGGTGTGAAGGAAATTGCTAATGAGTTCTAAAAACCAGGAAATTTGTTGCTTACAAAATATGATTCTAGAAAATATCTGACCAGTAAATAAATACCAACAATAGAAACAAAGCCCTCTTACAGATACCAAAGTAAAATGGAATAAGAAAAATGGGACTTTACTGGAAGTCAAGTGCCAGGTTCTATTTGTGGCCTTGATACTTTCTTCTATTGTGAACTCAGGTTCTTTAATTAAATTCCCAGGTCCTCAATTTCCACAGATGTAAACCTCCTGATTAAATAACCTTTAGGATTTCTTCTTCCTTTAAACATCTTTTTTCCTAAAAATAACAACCAAAAAAAAAAAAAATTCATACTGAAGTGAGATAAGAAAAAATGCCATTTTCAAAATGGTTAAAACTTTTAAAAGGTAAAAGGAGAAAGTAACTTGCAGGAGCCTTATCTGTGGGCACCATTCTTGCCAGAAGTTGTTTACCTGTGGAGAAGGAAATTGACTGAGGTCACATGGTCCTAGCCAATTTCATTCACAGTAGGTGCTTTAAGACAGCAAAGCACCTCAGTTCAGAAACAGCACTACCAACTTACAGAGTAAACTTGAAAGCAAGTAGATGGCCACAATGGGGTGGGGGTTAAGGGAGGTAGAATGAAAACTGCCTTTTAAAAGAACAGGTCACTGTACAAAAGAGAGGAAAAGAAAATGCTCTAAACTATATAACTGCATGTATATTTAAATGTATAAGACAGAAAATGATATCACAGAGTTCTAATGGATCATTGAACAGAACTGTTTGCAGTATCATTGCTGGAATGTCCACTCTACAAACTTTAATTCTGTGACTTGAACAATTATTTCTAAGATGGCAATATGTAATCTATTAACTAGTGATTTCCTACTGCGCATTTTTTTTCTTCTGTAAATCTGTATAACTTGTACCCTTCACTGTTTTTTTTTCTTTTCTTTTCTCCTTAAATAAAAATTAAAAAAAGAACAGGTCTGACATTTTTTAAAAAATGGAAGATAGATAAGACTTATGACCAATATTTACCTTCAATTTGGTAACTCACATTACTTCAGAGATTATACTGCTTACCTAAATTTACTGTCTGTTACACTCCAATTGTGATTCTCCCAGTTTTTCTCATGGTGATTTTTAAAATTTGTCTCATAATTTAAAATTTCTTAAATTTTTTTGTGATGCTGGATCTAACACGATTTCATGCATCCTAGGTAAGAACGCTACCATGGAACTATAATCCTAGCCCCATTACATAGCTCTTAAATGGGAGCCAACCAGGTTGAATTTGAGAACCACTGTATTAAAGCAATGTACAGTTAAGCATAAAGAGCCTGCATTACAAAATGTTAATTTCACGTTTTTTCTCTTTCCTTCTTTCTAAAACTTCTACAATTGGGAAATGAGATTTTTGTAAGAGTCTCAGACATGAAATTAATTGTAATGATACAGAAAAGAAATTGTCTCATTTTTGTAAGTAGCTTAAGGATGGACTGATGGTATCAGGATACAATTCTCACTTTTTTTTCACTTAAATATCTGAACCTGTAACAAAGGACCACAAAAATCAAAGAAGATAACCTCGTACCTTTTTACATAATCAATAAACTTCATAAAAATGTCACATATACTTCATATATACTTAAACTCAGGGAATCAATGAATATTTGTTAGATTGAAAATATAATAAACATGGGCACTTATAAATTAACATTTAATTATTAGTCTACAGAAAATTCAAAAGGTGATAGCAGTGTTGACATGGACATACCCATAAGAAGCTGGGCTCAGGTCACCCATTCTATCACTTTCTTTTTTCTGCTAGTTAAGATAAGAAATATTCTTACACAAGGGAAGATTACCACTCCTTATTCATTATTGTGACACTGTCAGTACAACTGATTATCATCCTGATGTGGAAACATCTATTAATGAAATAACTAAACCATCCTCTCCTTTAATGAAGTATGTTTCAAACTACAGTCTAAACTGATAAATTTCGTATATTGTAGTCAACATCTAACGAACAATGGTGTTGTTTTGTAAAACTTTTGTTTCAGTTACAGTTCTGCAGCTGTTTGCACTGGATTATAACCTGAACTACTTACTATAGGTTACTGTCATAAAAGCATAAAAGTTGCTGCTTCACGGCAGCATAAGAGAGACAGTACATCTCAGAATCAGCCAGACGTGCGTGGTTTAGGATCATAGCTACTAGTTCTGCGACCCTTGACAAACTATATATTCAGGTTCAGCTTCTTTACATATAAATAACAACAAATACTTAATTTTCAGAGTTTTGGTAAGAGAAGTGATAGAGATAATATAAAGTGCCACACAATATGCCTGATATGTAACATGTACTCTTTGCTCTTAGAATTTTCTTTCTCTCTCTTTTTTTTTTTTGGTACCAGGAATTGAACTTAGGGGACCTGTGCTTGTCAGGCAGGCACTTGTGCCATTGAGCTGTATCCCCAGCTGCTATTATAATTTTCAGTAATCAATTTAAACATGAAATTTAGAGAACTATTACAAATGAGTAATTCCAATAATATATTTAAAAGATGCTGACAGGTTCAATTTTGCTCATTGTATTCAGAAGGATGCAGAGAACATAAAAATAATAGCATGTTTGTATTTACATTGTGATACAAACACAGAATCCAAGAAGATTATATAAGAGAATCTATAATATTTCACTTCTGTACCTAAAAACAAGTAACGATCAGGATATAGTCATATTAAAACCAAGAACTGAGATTAGTCATACTTTTCATCCAAATTACATCACTAGTTTTCCTGTAGCATTAACACTTGAAAAGAGTATATTTTTCCAGTAGCTGCTTTCAGAATAAAAGCATGAAAATAAACATCTCACGTAGACAAAATCATCCTAAGTAGGTAACAGCAATTAATTTCTTTACCAAATATTTGAGTACTTACTACATGCCAGATACTGAACGCTAGGCATTATAGTAAGAAAAAACTAGTCCCTATGGTTATGGAAAATTTGGCAAAGAAATTAAAGTATAATGATGCTAGAAGCCTTGTCCTGAATAAATTTTTTTAAAATTTTATTTTTTGCAGTACTGGAGATCAAACTCACAACTTTGCGCTTGCCAGGCAGGAGCTTATGCCACTAAGCTAAATCCCTTGCTGTCCTGAATAATTTCAAACTGAAAAGAACACAGTTTATCTTGTACTTATGGGTCATCAGCTTATCTAACAAATTATGGTTTTTATTTTTTAAATTATCTGTAAAGTAAAAATGAGAAAAACAAATTTTTGAAAAATGCCAGTCTTACATTGCATGTTATACATTCAAATTAGTTCAAAGGAAGTTACATGTTCACATTTTAAAACTTAAACATAAGCAGTTAAAATGCAAATTTCAAGGACAGTCATATGTATCAGTAAATATAGAAATACAAGTACAGAATTTCTGAAAAATATGTTCTTAGAAAATAGAGGGGCTGGGGATTTAGCTCAGCGGCATAAGCACCTGCATTGCAAGCAGGTGGTCGTGAGTTCGATCTCCGGTACCGATAAAAAAATAAAATAAAATAAAATAGGATATGGGGCTGGAGATTTAGCTCAGCGGCATAAGCACCTGCCTAGCAAGCGTGAGGTCACAAAGTTCGATCCCCGGTACCAAAAAAAAAAAAAGAAAATAGGATCTATTTCTCAGAAACAATGTATTAATAACTAATGTGTAGTGATATCACATTCATTTCTTCTTTATTTCATTTTCATATTTCCCAAAATCTCTATGTATACTACTATAATACTTAGAAAAAATTATTTAAAAATATTTTCACTTAACTATTTTAAGAGGCATTATCCAAAATTGCTTTGGAGTGGTTTACATTTCAAATACCTAAAATGCATTTCATAAGTATAATGGACTAAAAATACAATCTCCATATTATCAGATAAAAAAGGTTAATTTATTTTAATCCTTGTTTTGCTTACTCTGTGAGTTAACATATCTAATAATGTAGCTCCAAGAAGGCAGATATTATAATATTAAAATTGATATATTAGTTACTGAATTGTTTTCTGAAAGTTCAGAATCCTACCAATTTAGTATTTCTATACTGATAATTACACACTATTTTTCCTTTTTGCTTTTTCTTTTTCAAAATTTGCTTGTTTCAAACAAATTTACTACCAATGGCTTTTCTCTGTTAAAATGAGGATTTTGCACTTACAAAAGATATTTTAGCAACCGCTGGAGCAGCAGGAATGAACAATTATTTCCATAGATGTGGACATTTCATGGTCAATAAAAAATTTCTGGATAAAATATTACTGCAATTTGCTCAAAAATTTCAAAACACTGCATGTCTAATAATGTTAACACCTTTTAGGAAAAAGAACAAATGTATGATATTTATTTCATTTCCATTCTTAGAGAAGTGAAAAAGGAGAGTTGCTAAAAGTATATGTGATGACCTGTTATGCCAAAAAGTAAAGAGCTATAACTAATTTTCTTTTGAGATAAACACAAATATGAAAATTTAAACTTTTTCTTTGGTGATAGCTAGAGATTTTAAGGATCCACTCACCCCTACCCTTTTGCTTACCTGTATCTTTGTGGCTTTTTGTAATCAATATAGTATTTTCTCTCCTCAGCAGAGAAATACAGTAATTCAACTGAAATTCTACAGATAAATTAATATTTGATAAAATTTTTCTACTTGACTTTCTGTAATTAAATAAGAACAGATTTCCCTGGACAAATGGAAGAAAAATGTGCCTTATGTACAGACTACTAAAAGGACAATTTGGGCCCACAATACGTTATCCATAATTCTAAAATTGTCAACAACTCTAAAATCCCTAACTCATTTGGTGGTAAACTCTTGGATGATCAGACACAAAGCTACTTGTAATCATTATTTATCTTACTTAGTATACTTTCTTCTTTTTGCTGCCAAAATACTAATACCTGGGATGCTGCTGAAATGTTAACCTATCATACAAATACCACTTTTCTAAAATTTGAAAAATTCCAAACTCTGATATACAGGTAGCCCCAAAAGTCTCACATAGAGATTGTGGACTAATATTAGATATGTATAAACTTCTTTTATGTATGACATAAATTCATTAGCCCTACTGGTTTAAAGAAATTATTACATTACTCTATGCTTGAATCATTAGCTATTTATCAGAACTTAAAAAATTAATCCTCAATTTAAAAATAGTAACTTTCAATTTTAAGAACCAAAGGACTTCACATTTAATACAATGTTTGTGCATACTTCATCTAATTACATACAGATTAAAGGCTACTAAGTAATCTATATAGTGAAAGTTTTAGATCATAAGAAAGGATGTTTAATAATCAAGTCTAGATTTGTTCATTAGTATGAATAATGACAGCGTATCAGAATGTATTATGTGCTAAAGAAAATAATTTCCATGACTTTCTTTACTGTAGGACAATCTCTCTTGGGAAGAATTATACTCAATGACAGGAATAGAACATTCTTAACCTTTACTATTTTTAAAGAAATTACATATCAGTGACAAAATAAAGACAGAAAGATTTAAATCTACATTAATCGAAAAACTGAATACATGGCTTTAAATAGCTTTTGAAAGAAAAGGTTTAAAAATTCTGAAAGCAAAGATGTAAATAAGGAAAGCATAAAGTATTAGTTTTATATTATTCCCAAGAAAATATGCCCAAAGCAAAAACACAGAAAGAAAGAAAGAACAAAGAACGAAAGAACGAAGACCAAAAACTCCACTTATTTAATACAGTCTTATAATAATCATATTAATGATAGTTACCTTCTTTGGGTTGAGCCATAACTGGAGTCTGAGTTTCCTTGGTATATGTGACAATTTCTCGAGGAGGAAAATCAACTTGTGTAATTTTGGCCATTCCAAGCTTAATAGGTCCCCGTCTAAATTAAGCGAAACAAGTATTTTTCAATACAACAAATGATACAATTTAACTATGTCAAGCCCTGTTATTTTTGAAAATTAAGAATAAAAATTTGTATATATCCAACACTATAATTTAAACCTGTTTCATTCAAATTTTAGATGAATAATAAATTAGCTTTAACAAAAGAGACAGTAGTAAAAACTTTTATTTTTCACTTTAGCATATGTGCTGCCAACCACTTTTTTTTTTCATTTTAAAGAGGCAAATAATTCATTTATGAGAGCAAAAGTGTAAATCATTATAGAGTAAGAAGACAGGAATTTCAGAGTAAACTAGTGTTTTTAGCTGGGACGTAATTCTAGTTTTTAGATATATGGATCTTGTACTATAATTAATTCTATTCACTATTAGAAGACTCTAAGATTGAGAACAAAGTTTCTGTTGAGAGCCTTTATTTCCTTCTTACATGTAGCAGAAACTGAGAATCACACTGTCAATCTGAATTTCAAAATGAAATGTTAAAACTTTTAAGTCTCTTTTTCTTTTTTATTGGTACCAGGGATCGAACTCACGACGGCACACTTGCAAGGCAGGCGCTTATGCCACTGAGCTAAATCCCCAGACCCCAAACCTTTTAAGTCTCTAATCTCTACAAAATCAGTATTGTCTTTGATTCACAACAGACAAACTAAGATCCAGATATCCTAATGAAGCAACAGATTTTCTGAGTATAATGAAACTATTAAAGCTACTTCTGTTTTAATAACATGGAAGAAATACATATTTTTTGACAAATGAAAGATGAGAATTTCAGTGAGAAAAATGGACCAAAAGAAAAATATCCTTTATTAGCTACCTAGGGGATTTTTATTTATAACAGTATTTAAAAGAAAAACTAAAGTATGTTCCTAAACTGCCAAAGTTTTCAATTATGCAATGATTTAAAAAGGATAATCAATAAAGACATCATTGCAACTTCCAGAATATATTTGTCACTGGTAATATACTTTTTAAAAAATACACATGTTTTCCAATTTTATTTGTAACTAAATTCAAATCTTATATAAAAGAATGTAAGGGAATTAGTAATTTAAAAAAATTAAGTTGCTCCTAATCCCTAATATGGGCCATAAGAAAATTTAAATATGTTTTCTATTTTAGGAATAAACCCTTTAAAGAAAAAAACCTAACCAAAGAAATAAATGGAAATTTTAAGTGCATTTGAAATAATGTAGAGTATTCAGGAAATAAAATTTGAAATAAGAACTTTAGATTCTGAGTTTTTAAGATATAAACTATAGAAAAAGCCAATCAGTCATACATCTGGAGACAATTGGCAAGCCAGCAGTATTAGGAACAAGTTACCAACTTAAATATATATAATAATAAAAAACCCACAATATTAAAACACATAAAATAAGGTTTTGTAAGAGGACAAGTGTAAAATGATAAAACCTCACTTATCTAAAAGTCACTTTTAACCGAAAAGTAAACAATGAGAGAGAGGAGAAGCCTCAATAGTGAGGGCTTCTAGTGTGTGAGATGCTCATGTGTTTTTCTTATATGCCTTAATTCAAAACTTATTTACTCTTGCTTATTAGACACAAAAACTTATGGCTATACATTTTAGAAGCTGCAAACTGTCACAGGAAAAGAAGTATCCGAAGCACAAGGTTAGTGGCAAATATTATTTCCATCAGAGCCTAGACAGACTAACTGAATAAATAACTAAATAAGCAAGCAAGCAAATAAATAAATAGTAACCTGGAGTCACAGAGAGACCAACATCTCTGTTCCTTTAAACACTTTAGACTCATAAGTGAATTTTAACACAGGAAAATTAATACTTATAGTAAGTAATTCAGAAAAGCTTCACTTACATGTTCAGTATATGTTAGAAAAAGGCTGGGAAGATTTTAGTAACATCTTGAAAAAATTTGTGTCAAATGATATAGAAATAATTAACAGAATTTGGCACCTAAATAAGCAGCCTTACAGTACCTAGGAAATCACATAAATAGACTATTTCTTTCACTAATGATATAGGATAAATGAAGTGTCACAGTAAAACAACTCATTCTACTTATAAACTACAATATTAGAAACTTAAGCCAAGTAAAACAGGATAATTTCACAAAGAATCATGTTAATTATAAAAGAGGGAAGGTAATAAATCTATTCAATACCCCAAATCGGAATCTGAGTGAAGCTGAAGAACTGATGGATCTGTATCCCAATGCAGCGTCCTAAAGGTTGTAGGACAGCCATGAAGCATTAGTAAAAAAGGTCATAAGTTAGTCACACAAATACATTCTACAAATAGCTAATGCTAAAGTATCATTCCCAATTTAAAAAACACATGTTCTGGTTAGTACAAAAAAAGGAAATGGTAAAGAGACGAAGAGGGAGAGGGGGAGAGAGAGAGAGACAGAGAGACATAAACTAGGCATCAATGTTCTAGTGTGGCAATAAGCAAAATATGGTCAAAGATGCCAGAATAGTTAAAAATATTTTCAGATTATAGAAAACTAATATTGTGTACTAATGAACAAGAACAAGTAATGCAGATAACAATCCATATATTATTTGTGTGTGATAAGCTAGTCTATCAAAGAGCTAAAATTTTAAGATTCCCAATGAAAAAGATATTAGTAAAAACATTTCAGTTAACATTTTCTAATCTTGCTCAAAGCACTAAATGTGTGCAGGAAATTATCATATTGTAAAGGAAATGAGTCAACACATAATCCTTTCGGTAAGAAAACCAAAGACTGTCCCACTGGGATACAAAATAGCTAAAGTTTCCAAAATGTGACCCTGCTGTAATTTATGGGTTAAGCACTGCCTTGGGCTTACATGTCATCTGCTTTAGAAAACAACTGAAGATTTTGGTCTTCAAAATCTATTACAAAAAAATAGATTTTTTTCCCCTGGAAGAGTATTTTATGTTTGAAGGATATATCTAATTTTTGGAAAATAGCAATCCTAAATTATATAATTCAGTGATGTTTTAGCATTTCTTCCTGGGTATGTTTTACATAGGATCTTTTCCACTTAAGTTAAATCTACTACTAGAACAAAAGGCAATTTATCATATTTGTAGTTATGATAGGTTAGCAATACTGTTTAATGCTCAAAGTTCCCATAAAAAAGTGTAATACTGTACTGAGTACTATAAATTTTGGCAAATGTATTTGTTTTTCACACAAGTTATAATACACAACTAACTTTTAACTGCTCTAATATTTTAATACAAGTGATTTGTCTACTTTACCTGCCTATATAATTTATTGAAAAAGCAATGAGATGGAAAGAACTAGAGAAATCTTTCACTTAAAAAATATTGAATAGATCTTGGAATTTAAAAATGGTAGTGCATATGTAATGGGAAAAAAAGGCCACAGTGAAGACCTACTTTGTATTAAGCAATGAACAGCAACAAACTTAGGCTTTGTTAAACCAAAAGAAGTTCTATGAGATGGTCTCCAAAGAATGTTTGGTCAGTAGCCTTTACAATGTATAAAGCTCTAGCTATTATCTGTTAACATAAAGCCCCTTGTTGAGAATAGTTTAAAATCCAATAAAACTTTACCTCAAAAGTCAATACTATCACATATATCATCTTCACTCATATAAAGTACAATTCCAGTATAATGCAAAAATTTAGTAACAAGTTGATCAAAAATGGGAAGAAGAACAAGTATGGATTACCCAGTTGAGTAACTGTTACTTAAAGTTTAGAGTTAACAGAAGTGATTGAGAAGGTGAACTAGAAACTTAGTGGACTGCAATTTTCTAATCTGCAAAGTTAGAGAAATATCTCTTCTTAAGGTATTTTATACCTTGTCATAGATTACCAGAGCTCCAACAGAAATTCTTGACAATTGAAACATTGTAAACATTGTATTTTCTGTGGTGATCTATAGTATTTAACACAAAGTTGGCAATTTGATGAATATTTGTTCTATACACAAAAAATTTTCTTACCAGTATTTACTCCCTGTATCAGTTTATATTCCAAAGAGACTCTAATAATCGCGAGGTTGTCCATGAAGCCCAAGACATAATTTAATTCATAATAATTTTAAAAACCAGGTAAGCAGAAGTTACACAGTACTTCTGAAAGCAAACTTATTTCCAGTGCATTAAAATAATCTTTCTACTCCTATTCAAAATCAGAAATAAGTATATACATTATATATAGTATCTATACAAAAATAAAAATAGAAAATAAAGATATTTAATAATATTTAATAGTAATTTAATTTTATATAGTAATAAATATTATATAGCAATATTAAATATATGGTTATATAGTATATTAAATATTATTAGTAATATTTAATAATAGTAATTTTTTAATCTAGGGAAATATTTTTGCTACAATGCTTATTGTAGAAGAAAAAACTCTTCACTTGAAAATATCAGTTGCTTATTAGATATTTAAAGGAATACTAACATATTTGTGGGACTTTTTTTCTGTTGCTGGAGACTGAACCCAGGGCCTTGGCACATGACAGGCAAACAGAGATATATTCCTAGCCCCTGAATACTGACATAATTGCATAAAAAATGCAAAGTATGAAACAAATTTAGCAATAAATACCAATTTAGTCTTAATAATATATAATATTTAAAATAGTAATATCTTTGAAAAGAAAGTTTTGATTTTTTTCTTAAATGAAAGAGTTATGCCATTGTCTCCAAAAGCAGTTATCACAAGATCTGTAATTTTTGGAAAACACATCTCAAATTCAAAATAGCAAGCTATATGTGCCTTTGAATTGTTAATAATAACCATATTACTTAATAACTGATTTAAGTATTTTTATGGGTCAATAAAACTATTTAGAATCTCCTTGAGTTGCTGGCAGTATTTGGACACTGAATGTATTCTATCATTAAAAAAGTAAAAGAAAATTACTGTACCTAGATCCCACGGCGCCATCTCCAGAGTCTTGGCTTCCAGCTTCACTTGGTGTGCTCACAGATTTGGAGGATGGAGACATAGGAGGAGGGACTAAATAGTGAAATAGACAGGTATCCGCTGTTACTACACGGAGAGGTTGCTCAGCTTATGACGTTTCAAAAATAATTTAACATGAAGTAATTAAAAAGGAAAAATAATGGCAAACCAAAAAAAATATATGAATGAAAATGAATAGTAGAAAAGAAAGGGGAAAAGACAAAGTTAACAATGCATGCTAAAGATTCATGCAATTTCTCTGGCAAAATGCATTTGGACTTTATATTTTTTTAAAAAGGGCAAGTGTATGGAAAGATGCATCTTTATTTCATCCATCACCAAATGTGGCCACTAATTTTCAAAGGAGAGCATTCCTTCTCCTCTTTCTAACTTCCCGCTTTGAAGACCACCAGATTATAATTGCTGCCAAAATTAAAATGCTGAAATATCCTTCATTAAATCATTTAACCACTGATTTTCCAAGATTTTAAATGTTAATTTTTCCCAAAAGTTAATACTGAAAAGTATCCCTCCCCATTAAAAGAAAATTTAGACAAATGATTGCAAGGAATGGCTCCTTTAAAATGTCTATTAGTTTCCAGCAATTTGGATGAAAAATGCAAACAGGCTGTAAAACAGCATGCCTTCTAGACATGATGCATAACATAAAGTGATGCATGCAAATTAAACAAGGCAAGATTTACAGTAACTTCCTTACCCCAGTATTCAGAAAAAACTGAAGTGTACAGACAAAGATACAGACACCCAAAATATTCTTAATTCCCTTCTTATAGAAAAATACACATGTTCATAGTATATAAACAGCAAATGCTTTCTCCTAAACTGTCACCTTTTAACATTATACAACATCAATTAAACGTGCACACTTCATGCTATGACATTTGGAAAACTTTTGATTACCGTTGCAGGGAGTATAGGAGGATCATCACTGCCATCTTCTGGTTAAATTTTATCATACATTTCCCCAATCCCAAATTTCTTTTTAAAATAATTTTTTCAATGTACAATATTTAGTAACTAATACACTTTATTTGAAGTGAAAGCCCTTCTTTTAATAGTCTTCTGAAGGGAAGATAAGTTCCTAGTTATATAGGAACTAAAGAAATATGTATTAAATTAAAATTCTATTTGTGGAACAGTCACATTCATTGAACTCTTAAAATCATTTAAAGGATTAAATATTTATACATTCTGTGGTATAAACAAAGAGCCTGATAATCTAACAAAATGTACAAATATAGTATGATGAATTCTATTTTAAACACAAGTATAAACTCATCATCTTTTATTTTCCCAACAGCAAATTCTACTGGTAAACAGTAAAAGTAGATGAAAAAAAAAATCATAGGTAGAATATTTATTTCCTGAGATAGAAAGGTTCATTCTTACCCTGCCTTTAAATTTCTCAAATTTGTCATCAAATTTCAAAGGACAATAAAAAAGTTTCTAATGCTGATTAAATCTATCAGAAACAATTATGATGTCAACTTCATATAGCTTCACAGAGTTCATATATGGATATACAGCACTGAACTAGGTGCCATATGTATGATTCAAAGTAGCTAAAAGGGACTTGTATCCAAAATAAAATATTAATATCATCTAACTTCTTTTAGGTTATATTTCCTCATCTTTTCATCTATGCTGCACTGTGAGGCTCCCTCTAGACTACTTCAAAACTGACACAGCAATTAAGTGTAATATCTAGGGGCTGGGGATATACCTTAGCGGTAGAGTGCCTGGCTGGCCAGTGCGAGGTTCTAAGTTCAACTCCCCCACCCCCACCCACAAATAAAGAGTAATATATAATAGTTGCTTGAGTGCTGTAAATATATATATATGTTTATTAAATTATAAGGTGGTATTATAATACTTTCTTATTAAAGATTTTCAAGGAAGAAATTGTTTTCTTTAAATCACATACTCATACTTAGAAAAGTAATTTTTCCAAGTATATAATTAGAGAAATTGGAGGAATAGTAAAAGGCTTATCAATCTACCTATTTGTGATCAACTATAGAATCCTTTTTCCTGTTTAATATGCTGGCTTTTCCACTTTTTGGTCATTTAAAGTATTAATGATTCCATTCACCAAGTTTAATAGAAACTTACTTGGTTAAGGCTGCATTTAAACAAATGTTAACCAAATTCTTTATAGAAACATGCCATACAGTATTGTACATATGTAGATTACATTAACCCAGCCAGTTCAAAAATAAAAGTTTCAGGAAAAAAGAATAAGCTGAAAGGATAATGCTATAAAATTATCATGGTATCTCTGTCAAACAAGGGAAAATAAATCATCATGACTTTATTTATTTTTGTCTTTTTGAGGCAGGGTTTCAAGGACTGGCCTTGAACTTACTTTGTAGCTCAGGTTCATCTTGAACTCATAGGGATCCTTCTGCCTCAGCCTCCCAAGTGCTTAGATTAGAGGCATGTGCCACCATGCCTGGCCCAAGACTTTAAATTTGTATTATTTAAAAAAAATTCTCCATCCTTAAATCTCAGTGTGCTGGAAACCAGTTTAAAGCCAGCTGATGGCAAGGATTCCATTAAAAAAATCTTAGCTATCATCTAGCTCACCAACTTCATCTTGCCCACCAACTTCATCTTGCCATAGTAAATATTATATATAACATAGAAAGTACAAATATAAAAAAAGAAAATTACTATCACTATAAGATGAGGAAAGAAAGGAAACGGTAGTGCTATTTTATCCAAGTAGTCTAAAAAAAAATCAAAGAATACAGTAATTGTACAATTATGTGATAAACACTATGCCCTCAGACTAACAATCCCCTGAAAATAAATGAAAGCATGAGTTCAAGGAGATAAAAGAAAAACAAAACCAAGAATGAATGAGTAAAGAAATAAACAAACTTCCAAACTTTTTAAGAAAATTTACTTCTGGAATTTTTAAGGACAATTTGAGTTCAATCTACTTTGAAAGTAATATAAACCATTAATAAGTAGCTTTTGCTATGATTTACTTAGTAAGAACAAAGATTCAACCAGAATACCCTCACTCTGTTTATAAAACAGCCTAAAACAGACTTGGCACAAAATAAAGGAATTGACATAGACCTACAAATATGTCAGTCAACTTAAGCCTCTCAGAAGTTTAGGGCAAAGATATCACCTATTTCCTTGAGAACCAAGGAAGAAATCTGAACTGAAAAGACAAAACCAAACCAAACCAAACCAAACCTGTATCATGGCATTTACCGATCATGTAAACAATACTGAAATACTGTGACTCTTTAAATTCTTTAGGCTAAAAAGTCAATTGAGAAGACTTTTCCTGCTAGTTAAAGACATTTGGCCTTCAAGGATGTAAAATTCATACTGCTGCTTTTTGGCCCATGAAGAAATAATTACAGGGCTGGGGATTTAGCTCAGCGGCATAAGTACCTGCCTTGCAAGCAGGCGGTCATGAGTTCGATCCCCAGTACCGATAAAAAAAAAAAAAAAAAAAAAAAAAAAGAAATAATTACAATATTTTTAAACTGCAAAGAACTGAAAATGCACCTAGATTTAGAATTAGCATTAAAGTCCACATCAACCACATAGAACTACACACAATTCTCAAGGATGAAGGATGGTATACACCCCTAATTATTTTTCAAGTAGAAGAAAGCCTCTGGAAAGAAGGGGCTTTGGCCAGAAAGAAAGACACAGAAAAGGGAAACAGTCAAGGACTCTGAATGTAAGGAGCATGAGCACTGGTAGAAGACAATGAAATAGAAAAAGCGAACTAGAATACCCTAAAGTTGTGGGGTCTCTTCGGTTTATCAAAGATACTCAGGAGTCAAATACAGCCCATATTACAATTTATGCGGATGGATATAAGTGCTTATGGATATAAGTGCTCCTAGCTAATAATATTATCATTTAAATAACATTTTTTTTTTTTTTTTGTCTTTTTCCTTTTTATTGGTACCAGGGATCGAACTCACGACTGCCTGCTTTCAAGGCAGGCACTTATGCCGCTGAGCTAAATCCCCAGCCCCTTAAATAACATTTTCATAGTGCTTCACTTTTATTCTTCTGAAAGATGTAGTTTCAAATATTAGGTCTTTTGAAATATTAAGTTTTCCCTTCCTATGCCCTTTCTGATGAAAATTAGTCTCTTCAATGTGATTCCAAATATTAAATTTATCAACAGAAATTAAATAAATGCTTAAAGTATTAAAATACTATAAGAAGCCAATATTCCTTCTCAAGGAACAATCTGAATTATAGGTACTGAACATTAATACTGGAGCTTTAGGGATATGTGTTAAGGATTATGAAATGTGTTTAGCCTAATTTTCTAAAGATAGTAAGATCTGCTAAACCCTTTACAGGTTTCATTATAATGGTAAATCTGTAAGTAAGCGATGGAAAATGGTTCAGAAATAAACTCAGAAAAAACACACCTGACTAGGAAACTTAAATGTTAAAAAAAAATGTTTTTGTGAGATGGGGTGGGAGTAGAGTAGGGTGGAACTTGCTAAACTATCCAGGCAGCTTTGAACACTTAATCCTCCTACCTCAGCCTCAAAATACCTGGGACTACAAGTGGACACCACCCAACTAGTTAAACGCTAAAATTCTTAAACATAGCATAACCTTGTTGAAGGTCCTTTGTGCATTTCCCTAGCAATCCAAAGAGACTATATTAACGTTAATCAACTCACTTTGCTTTGTTAAACGTAATCTTATATGTCTTAATATTATTCAAAATTTCAAATAACTATCATGAGCAATAGCATTGCTCATAAAGCAATAGCATTTGGCTTCTTTTTCAAACCTATGTTTACTGCTTCCCTGAACTGTTCTAATCCTCAATAGAACTGAATCTCTCCTTATTTTTATTTTTTTGAGATAGGTTTTCCCATGTAGTATAGGTTGGCCTTGAATGTACTATATAGTTGGAAGATAGTGAACTCATGATCCTACTGCCTCAACCTCTGTGCTGGGATTACATACACATGCTCCCACACCTGGCCCTCAGTTTGCACTCTTAAGTTTAGATAACTAAAATATTTCAAGTCAAGTAGTACTTATAATAAACTGATATTTAATTAAGTACAATGCTTCTT